GGGACTATCTGTTCTTGGGAGGGTAGCGCGTTCCCTTGGACATGGAAGCTCCACGCTGGGACCCCTCTTGAACCTTGCCCTGTGCATCTCTGTATCTCTTTCTGTTATATTAAAGCTGTTATCTCGGGCATGGTATTTCCCATGGGCACTGAGTCCTTCCGGTGAAATACAGGACCCAAAGGAGTAGCGGGGGCTGGCTAGTCTGAAGTGGAGGGAGTTATGTGGACTCCTGGGCTTGTGGCTAGTACCCTGAGGGGGTAGAGGAAAACCCCAAATTTGGGGCTGGCTAGTCTGAATTGCGGAAACCCTGCTAGTGTAGTACTTAAGAGCTATGGCTGCTAACCAAAAGGTTAGCAGTTCGAATGCACCAGGTGCTCCTTGGAAACCCTATGGGGCAGTTCTACTCTGTCCTATAGGGCCATTATAGGGTCACTATGAGTCAGAATCAACTGGATGGCAATGGGTTTTTTTTTTTAATGGGAGTCTGAAGTGGGAGCCCTGGTGGCGCGGTGGTTAAGAGCTTAGCTGCTAACCAAAAGGTCGGCAGTTTGAATCCACCAGCCGCTCCCTGGAAACCCTAAGTGGCAGTTCTACTCTGTCCTATCAGGTTGCTATGAGTTGGAATTGACTCAATGGCGATGGGTTAATCTGAAGTGGCGGGGAGGGGTCATGTGGACTCCTCAGCTTGTGACTGGTATCCACTGACCTAGCCCTGGGTGAATGGGGATGAGAGACAGAAGGGCTGCATGCACAGCTGGGTATGAACTGAATAGGGAAGGAAGTTGAGATTTCCTCAGGATGCACCGGCATGTGGAGTGGGACTTATTCACCACACAATGTGGCATCAGAAGTGGGATCTTAGTCTCCCTGGACTGGTTTGTACGATGGCATAGTTGACAGGATTTGCTAGAGCAACCCTGACTGATCAGAGACGTAGCCAGGGAATCTTTCACTTCTCTCCATGTGCAACAATAAGACTCAAGAAGAGAACAGCTTGTGAAAGGCCAAGCTGGGTCTCCCAAGCAGTGCTAATCATGGTTTCCCCAGCACAGCAGCGGACACGGTCTCTGAGAAGAGAAGAATCTCAGGTAAGGAAAAGACAGACTCTGCTTGGATTAAAAAGAGTCATGCATATTAACACTTCATAATAATACTTGCATGTATCCAAAGAGAACAGATCTTATGTAAATCACTCATGAGAAGTTATACTAACTTGGATTTCAATTTTTCATAAAGGCATCTTTTTAATGAGCTAAAAATTCAAGACACTGAACACAATGTTCATACAAGAAATCGCATCTTACTTTAGGAAAAAAATTAATAATGGTATGTGAAGATCCCTGGGACTGACTGGGCTATGCCTGTGTCTGGAAACCTGAGTAAAATCCAACCCTCCTCTGTAGGTTTGTGTTACACCACAGCTGTCCCCACGTCATGTGACACTACCTGACTCAGGCACTCCCCCCCTACCCATCACATGACATTAACCCAACAGGGCACCTGTCTCCAACACGACACCACCTGAAATGGGCAGCCCCCCCCATCACACGACACCACCTGACCTGGGTACCCCTCCCCCATTGCATGAAACCATCTGACCTGGGCACCCCTCCCCCATCACACCACCACCTGACCC